GCCCTGTCCCTTTTTTGTTTTCCTTTTTTCCTTTTTTTTTTTTTTTTTTTTTTTTGCTTATCCAGATATTCCATCTCTTCTCTTTCAGCCTTTCTGGTTGTCCTCTTGCTGACAAGAGCCTCAGAAACCTCATGGCTGCCCACTCTGCTGACCTCAAGTATGTTTGCGCTCAACTTGGAACTCTTTTTTTTTCTTTTTTTTCCACCCTTTTTTCGCTCTTCCTCCTCCCTGCCCTCCCCCTCCTTTTGCTCTGCTTTTGCTTTTCCATCCCCTCCCTTCTCCTTTCAAAGAGCCAATCAAAATCCACCTGCGAGGAGCTCTGGTGGAGCCCAGCCTCCAGCTGCCGCGTTGGGAAGAGTCAGCATCATGGAGCAAGGCTTATTTTGGGGAGGGGGGATCACAGCAACGATCAGAAATAACCTGGACCCCTGGCAGGTTTCCTTTGGGCACTGTAGACTTATGCTACTTTCTTTTTCATTTGGCGTCTTCTCCCAAGCTCTTGTTTCCCTAGTTTGTGCCATAACCCTTTTCATTCAACATTTTTTTATGGCTCTCAAATAATCCAAAGCCTCGATAGAGGCACATGCTTTATTTTTGGGTAGAGACACAGCTGAGAAAATACCACCAGGACATAGCGAAAAGAAGCCAACTCTTTTGGAGAACCGGGGATGCTAATTTTATGCTAAATTTTAGGGGTTGTTTGGGATGCAATGACAGAGGTTCTTATTCATTTCCATGGGAGTTTGATTTGTGAGGGAATGAAAGAGGGGGCAAGGAAACGCTTGGTGAGGCTGGATCCTGAGCCAGTGGCAAAGGGCTCACAGGCACACAAATTTCTTTGTTCCCATTTCTGCTTCTGATGGGAGGAACCGGTCTTCAGATTTTCATTCAAATATCTTCCTCTGCATCCTGTTTTCAGCTTTGCTGCTGTCTTCCCGAAGCTCCTCATTTTCACTAGGAGCTTATTCTTCATAAGAGGGTTTCCCAAATTCTCTCTTAGGTTACCCTCTCTAAAGAAAGGTTTGATAGAAATTGTATTTAAAGTAGATGGAGACACTGGGGGCACCCAAACCCTCTTCCACCCAACCTACATCTTTGGGGAAAAGCTAACTGTGAATTTTTTTCCAACATCACTTCCATAGAGCCAGCCTATTTTTGGAGTCTAATTCTCCTCTGAGCTCCCTGCTTTGCTGAATCCAGTTTCAGGATTATTTAGACACTGAGATATTCATAACTATAACTGAAGAGCCTCTACCGAGAGTAAAACCTCATGGGGGGACTTCACATTGCACAGGCTCATCATAAAAGAAATAAGTATGTCCTTTGTCCTGTATGCAATCAGTGATGTTTGGAGCCATGGTAAGAACAGTCAAGTCAGGTGGGAGCCCCTTTGGTCATTAAGGTGGTCAGTAAAGCCCCAAGTCCCTTTTTGGTGGCCCGGAGGGCAGCGGGGGTCTGGGACTGCTCCACACCTCACCGCCGATGCGGGTGCTGGTGCCAGGAAAAATGTTCGTTAATCACCTGCTCCTTATCACAGAGGTGGAAAAAGTAGCTGGATTAGTTGATATTAATAGAATATGTTAGTGGAGGGAAAGGACTTGCATGATTAGCGCTAAGTACACTTAATCATGCATTATAGACGATACACATTTTGAAAGAACCTCTTAAGAGAGCTTTGCTGAACTGGTGTTTCTCCAACAGCCTTAAAGAATAGCCCAGTGATCAGGCAATTAGTGTTAAAGATATTAAAAGCTCTCAGGAACAGTTCCCATTCCAGTAAGGGCCCGGAGAAAAAGCAAACGGGGTCGTCCCTGAGAGGGAGCATCGCACCGAGCCTTGCTGTGCAGCATCCCCGGCTGCCCTTCGGCATCCGATGTCAGCGCTTTTTATCAGAATACTATATAAAACAGGAGACTTCTGGCCAAAACAAAGCTTTTTAATGTTATTTCCCAAGTACTGCTTTTTTTCTATGTCCTGGTGAGGATGGGAGCGGAGGAGGGGAAGAGGATTTGGAGATATTACAGATAGCGCAGTCATCGCTTTTCACAACTTCAGATAAGGCCATGTCAGTGTTTCCATTATAAATTCTATTTCAGGGGTTAATATCCCTGATATAAAAAAAATAGCTCCAGGCTGGAACATGCAATAAAAGGTCTCTGTCGGTATGATTTGTCTCCAGATAATTAAAAATAAAACTCAAATCACTTCTCTCCCTTTTTTAAAAGTCCCAAAAGGCAAAAGGAGTTCGGTGTTAGTGCTTTCGTAATTTCATCCCACCCTGAAGCTAGAACAACAAAGAAATAGGTTTGCTTTTTATTTTAACAGCATTCAACAGGGAAATGTCACAGTCATCTCCTAAACCTGTAATTTCTAAACGAGTTAGAGAATTTGCACCCTCATCGGGGTCCTGCAGGATGTGTCCCTTCTCTTACTGCACCAGACCTATGTGCATTTATGTTTTCTTGAGTCTGAGCAGGCCGAGCCTTGGTCCTGACTTAGTCTCCCTGTCACCCTTCTGGGACCAGGTTGTGTCCCTGCTCTCCCACCCTAGGTGAGGTGCCAATTTTTTTTGCCAATGGAGACTCTTCAATGACCCACAAATGCCAAACCCTCCCTCAGAGCTGGTGCAAAGAGGAGAATTTTGATATTTTCTAACAACAACAACAAAAAAGAGGACTTTTTAAAAGGCCATTTTCCAAGCTGCAGAACTAAAGGCATCTGTGGAAATCATTGCTCCATTGACTCTCAGGGGCCAAAGCACCTCAACGATACCGTTGGTGCTCGTGCTAAAAGGTCAGGCATGAGCTTTCCCGAAGACATTGGCCTCAGGGGCTGCCCGTGCACTGTCATGTGTTGCCCATCAGTTCACTGGGGTGTCCCGGAGACACATCAATCCCTGTTCTGCAGCCGGGTACCAACCAGCGCTACCAAACCAGGCACCGGTGGCTTTAAAAATGGGGATTGAGAAAGTGGGGCCACAGCAAAATCCTCCCTCGAAGAGAAAGGGCACTCTGCAAGCTTGCGGTCATCCCGTGAGCTTTGCTCGCTCCGGCGGCACCGTGGATTTCCTCCCCCCCGGTACTAATCACTTGACTCAAATAGCCCTGGCTAATTGGCAGGCTGGCACGCACGCACGTCCTCGGCGAGCACTCCTCGCCTCTCTTCCTTGTCCCCATGACAACTTTTATGTCCGCCGCGTCACCTACAGCATTTGGAGCAGATCTTTGTGCTCGTGGTACTTCATATCCCCTCACCTTTCTCGCTTCTGCACCCTTAATGATACGGTGCTTAACTCGTGCCATTATCTTCGCTGCCGCTCGGTAAGGCTCGCAGCCCCTGCTAGTCTTTGTGCAGGTTTGTGTGATCACAGAACTGTTCTCCAGGCTTTGCTTTCAATCATGTCCTGGAGTGCTGGATGCTTACCTTCAAACCCATGATCATGGCTGCGTCTTCAAAGACCCCTTTGAAACGGCAGCGGCTGAGGACCGAGGGGCAGATTTTGTACCGAAGCACCAAAAGCTGCTGGTGCACCGTGCATGGTGACCTGGTGATCCCCAGCCCAAGGCCCTGCAGGCAGCTGTCCCCTTGCAGACCCCCCTGTCCCTTGCCCATGGTGTTACAGAAGGAGGAGACCTGAGGTTAACCTAACCTTGTCCCTCCTGTTCCTTCATTACTTTCCATCAGAGGCATCAAATGGTTTTGCACTCTGAGGACCCTCCTGGGGTGGGGTGTCTGTTTGCTCTCATGAGATTAGGCCCTGCCAAATCACCCAGAACTGAGCCGAGACCTTCTGTTGGGCTTCCTCTTGGTGTTGGCCGAGGTGGCCCTGGAGGAGAAAGCTCGATGGCCAAGTTGTCCAGAGTTGTAGGCTATTTTTCTGGTTTCTTGTCTATGCCTGCATCCAGCCCAATGGCCCTGGGTGGTACCTGCCATCTCCTTATGTCTTCCTCAGGAAGACAGACACTGTCCTGGAGGTCTTTTTTTGGCTCCTTTGTTATCATCTCCCGAGCTGTCCCCTTCATGAGGGTGGGGACAGAGGCTGGGACCCACCTCTCTCCGCTGGAGAGCAGCTACCTGCCGCACTCCCAACGTCCCCACCTCTTCCCACTGATGTTCTTCTCCAACGCCGACATCATGCAGCGAAGCATCGACTTTGGTGTCGTGGATATTACAGACCAGACCTTGTTCTTACAGGGGGAGAAGGGGCAGGAAGAAAAACCTGCTTCTGTGTTGACAGTCCCTAGATTTCTTTTTGAAATGAGCTGTCGCGAAGCGCCCATCCCCTGCTCGCATCCCCAGGCTAATCTGAGCATCCCTTTCCTCCGCAGGTGCCCTACTCCTGGTTGTGATGGCTCTGGTCACATAACAGGAAATTATGCATCGCATAGAAGGTAAGATCTCCCTTAAATTATTTCCTCTGTAGCCTCTTTCTGGTTTTTTGGTTTTTTTTTTTTTTTTCCCCTGCAGTGGGCAGAGCTGTAAAGTTCTGAATAAAACATTAACGTTACTGACAACTGAAGCCTATTTTCATCTCTTTAATCTGACTTCTCTTTTTTTTTTGATGTTTCCAGCATCTGATTAGAAGCTCCCTTCAACAGAATAAAAGACAAAGGGTCAGATTTTAGCTGATGCAATGTTCCTGTTAATAATGCTACCTATTTATGACTTCTATTATCACTTTAGAGCATTAATAGCAGAGATCTGAGCCTTCTGTTTCAACAATTCCATTAAACATCACAGGCTGTTAGCAGATATCTTCTTATCTAGATACCATTAATTACTGTCCATCTCCCTCAATTTTTTTTTTTTTTTTTTTCCTCCTGACTTCTCCTCGTGATGTGAAGCTGCAAAACGAGAGAGATCAAAAACACTGTGCAAAATTCAAGGGAAAGATGACTGAAGCGGGGGAATAGCAAATGCAGTGATTCTGCCAGTGAGACAGGCCTTTCTTCTCTTTTTAACCACAGTCTGTCAGGCTGCCCTCGTGCCAAGAAAAGTGGGATCAAGATCACCCCGACAAAGGATGATAAAGAAGATCCAGAGCTGATGAAGTAAGTCTGGAGGGAACTCCCGAGCGGACCCTTTGGCTCGATCCCCTTTGCCTCGCACAGATTTACGCGGGGGAACAGCATCCATCCTGCAACCCCCCTCGCTCGCGCTGCTCGGAGCATCGTCTGCCCGCGCTGGAGCGGGCGCTGCCAAAGCTCTTCCGCTGGTTTCCGGGGAATTTTTCCCTGATCCCAAAAACAGTGTTGCAATTTTGAAATTTGATTGGAAAATTGGGCGGCGGGGAGGTAACGGTGTATTTTTTCTTACTTGTTTTTGCAGACGTGAAAGGTAGGCTGGTGGGGCACAAACAGTTCCTCTCCTACCTGTGCTTTATATAATTCCTAAAAAACCCACCAGTGTTGTAAATGAGGGTAAAACCCCACAGACATGCAAAATGTTGCAGGTTTTGGGGCAGTAATGGGCAGGTGAGGAGTGCTGGAGGGCGTGCTTAGCTCCCAGGAGCGTAGTAGAAATAGAAACTATCCAGCACTGAGTCGGGTCAGGATCCGGTAACCCCGAATAAGATGTTTTGTCGAGTCTTTGCCACGGCTGAATATTCAAAGTGAACAGAAAAAGCCTTTCTCTGCTGCCTCGGGCTGAATTTTTCAAAACATCCCAGGGGGTTTACTCCTACTGGGAACCTAGATTTTAAATCTCTTAGTCTGCCTCTGGAGCTTTCATTTGCTGTGAAATCCATTTCTCCCGACTTTTAGCAAGCCCGAGCATCCCGGGCTCAGCGTCCAGGGCCTGACGCGAGGTTCGGGGTCTGTGTCTCAACCCCTCGGGCAGCTACAGGACATCAAAGCCTTTACAGCAGGGCTGGGGCCAGCACTGACTCCAGCATCCTATTTTTTGTTAACCCAGAGCATCCCCAGCCTTTCTGGAGCCTGTCCACGCACCCAGCAAGTGCAGGTGGAGGGGGTTAAAAAGAAACATGGAAAAACTTATCAACCCCCTCCAAGAGTTTCCGGATGCCCATGAGCGCTGGCATTTCTGGCCAAACCCCTTTGGCTCAGCAGGTTGTCCCCAAATGCATCTTTTTTTCCCTATTTTAGCCCTAGGGCAGGTCTTGCCCTTGCAGGAGAGCAGAGGAATACCTCCCTGTACCCGGGTTTTGCCCTGGAGCGGGGGCTGAGCCGGAGCGGGAACCGGTGGGTGCGGAAGGGCCCCGCGGGGGCTGCGGGAAACAGGGATGCGCGAGCTGGGGAAGGACCTTTAAGAACGATGATATTTGAGCCATCTGCTCTGTTCTTACTCCTCAGTCTACAGGAAGGAAAGCCTCCCAGTTAAATGAGCCGCGTGATAATTAGCAGGAGTTAGCGGAGTTTGTTAAAAATTAAGCAACCTACTCGAGAATCTGTGGGGAAAAAATTCTTTTTTGGTTCAAATACGCTAAATTGCTGGCGGCGTTGTAATGCTGTGCCATTAACCAGTGGGAAGGACAGGCAGCAAATGCTGTTGTGCAACCTTCAGCTGTTGCACGTTTGCTTCTTCTCCTGCAGTGGGAGGCCCCGGTGGGAGGCTGTCCCTCTCCACGTTTTCCCCAGGGACACGTGCCCTGCGGGGCTGGGGAAGCCGTGGCTTTGCTCACCCTTGCCTGCCCCGTTCGGGGCTGGGAGCGGTCGGGGATGTGCCAAGCGGCTCCCCCAGTGCGGTTTCTCTGCAAAGAGGTTGCTTCCCAGCGCAATCCCAGCGGAAGCTGGTTGTGGCTCTGCCGCTCCGTCGGCAGCGGGACCGTGGGCACGGATGCAGGCAGTGCCGGGTGGGCACGAGGGTCTCCATGGCATGAGGGCATGAAGGCATTCCCCACGTCCCGTGGTTCAGGCTGCAACCCCCGCTCCTCCCGCACGCAGAAGCTCCTCTGAGCTGTGCAAAACAACACGGTGCGAGGATCCCTTCGCTGCCGCCTTCCCCCAGCCCTGGGAAAGCTCCTGTTCTGCCTCCCGCAGCAAGGTGCGCCCGGCGCGGGTTCGCGTTGAGGAGCTTCAGCTCTAAATCCATCCTCTGTCTGCACCCAGCGCCGCTTGGAACCCGGCCGAGTTTTGCACATCGCCACCGAGGAGAAAGTCATTTAGTCCCTGTTGTTTTTGCTGTTCATCCTTCAAGTAATTTGCTACAGACTTGATTGAACAGAACACCTCAACCTTCAGCCCAGCCCTGGCATAAAACGGAAGCATCCACGGCTGCCTAATTGATCAAACGCTACTGGTGCTTCCGTTAAATAATAATTTAAAAAAAAAAAAAAAATTAAAAAAATGTCCAAGCCAGCTGTTTTGCACAATAAGGCTGTGGTTTATTTTTTAACAATGAAAATGTAATGAAAGTTAAATTAACAGCGTAAAATATGTAACGGTTGGGCCGTAACGGCTGCATTCTAAATGCTGGGGTTTGTCTCTTTCTCTCTCGCTCTTCCCCCCCCCTTTCCTCCTGAGGATTCAGTAATTTGCTTGTGATCATATAAAAGCAATGATGTTATGAATTTACTGAGGATCCTGCTGGCAGGGATATTATAAGTGAATTGTGCTGCATTTGCAGCTGATTAAAATCAAGATCAGCATTTTTCAAATTATCTTGGGAAAAGTGTGGGTGTACAGCTCCCCCCTTCTGCTGTCATCTCCCCTTTGTATGAAATATAAACAATCAGGGTAATCATTTCTGCGGTGAAACGCAGCTTGCGATTTTCAGGAGCAGCTCAGCGGATATTTTGCTGGGGAAACTTAAGTCCCTAATTGCTTTCAAACCGAGGACACGGGGTTATTTTTGCCATTTCTTACGTACTTTTCCTCCCACCCCTCCTTTTTTCAGAGTAACCTCCCTTAAGTAATAAACTTTTAACTGTATTTATAATTGACTAGCATCTTTAAACAAATGCAAACCACAGCAGAAACCTTAATAGATACAGCGGGCTGTGTCGAATGGCTGAATTTAGTGAGCATGCCATTAGGCGGGGAGTTTGGGAGCAGGGAGGAAGGAGGTGCCTTTTAGAGCGACACTCATCCTCTTGGCAATCAGCACAAGTTCTCAGGGCTCCCATGACGCCCCTCGCAGCTCCCGCGTGCTTTAACCGGCCACAAATGGCGGCAGAAGCACGGGAGCGGGAGGGCTCATGTGCTGCCTTGACAGTAATTCCCACTTTTATCCCTTTGCGAGCGCAGGTTGATCTCTCGGTAGCCGCGGGATGCGAACCGGGAGGAGGAAGAGGAGGCAAGCGAGGCCGTGCCGCGGCGGCCGGCAGAGGGGGGCCCCATGGTTTACTTGTCCTGTCGATGGGGTACGGGCTCAGACACCCCTCGGACGCCCTCCTTGCGGGAGCAGGTTTGCAGCCTTTTCGGTGCACAGGTTGCAGCCTGACGGGCTCCCGGGTCAGGGACGGGCTCATGGGGAAGGGTTGTGTCCCCATGGGCACAGACAGTGCTCTTAGATCGCGTTGACCGTGGTAGTGTAGGGTGGCAAAGTTGATGACCCTGGGTTCCTCGGCAGTAACACCAGGCAGAGCCGGCTGTAAATGTGTGATGGTTCGGTGCGAACGTGTCAGCCGTGGGGAAACGTCGGGATCCCACGCCAGGCAGCCTTACCCTTTGTCTTTGCCCTCAGTGAGGCACCAAACACAGGGTTTGGGACATCACTGGGACCTGCTTTTGGTGCAAGTGTGAGTGTGATGTGACCTCCACAGTCTTTCCCTCTTGCAGGATTTACCTTGGCTCTCTTTGGTCTTTTGAAGGGGCAGTCATAGCTCTTAATTTCCCATCTGCCATTCCCATCAACTAAGCATCTACCCCGTAAAGTCCAGCTGAGATCCCCAAATGGGAACGCTCTCTTCCCAGGCTTCCTCATCCCTAATTTCCTTATGTCCCTCTTCATTCCCGTGGTATAATTTTTGGTAATTCCCTGTGCCCAGGTGTCCGGTTCCTGGCTGCGTTGGGCTCGGACACATCAGCGGCAAATACGCCTCTCACCGGAGCGCGTCAGGGTGCCCTCTCGCAGCCCGCAGGCAGAAGGAAGGATCGCTCAACGGCTCCTCATTTTCCTGGAAGTCGTTGAAAAACGAAGGCCCAACCTGCCCTACCCCGGGCTGCGATGGCTCCGGCCACGCCAACGGGAGCTTCCTCACTCACAGAAGGTAAATCACAGGGTTGAAATCACCGGGAGCGTGACAACGTTGCCATGGACTAACCGACCTGCCTGTAGATGCTGCTTGAGCATCGTTCAGCTCTTCATGCAAGGCTCAATAGCTGGTGCTTTTGATGCTGACTTCAGTCAGGTTGCTCCAAGGTTGGAGCTTTCTGCATGGAAGAAAATGTGTAGTTGTTTTAATAGTGAGATGTGGATTGGGCAAAATCATGAAAATTTATAATATAACGTCCTTCCATGAGCAAGCCGGAACAGGACTTGGGCACCCCAAACAGAGGGTTTAACACCCAAACCAGCCAGACTCGTCCCACCTTCCTCACCTGTCATGCCCTCGCTTTTAGGAAACAATGTGTTTTTTAATCTTTGTTCAGAGAAAATTGCTCTCGCTTTATAACTGGGGAGTTTTGTGGCATTATTCATACAGCAATTTCCTCTGTACCATAAAAAGCTTTTAGAAGAACTGTCTCGCAGCATGAACTCCACCAAATGGTACGTGCTCTTGTTGGGAACATAAGCACCTATAAATACCGAGAGTTTATGAAACCCCTTTTCACTTGCTTTTCAGTTTGTCAGGGTGTCCAAGAGCTACTTTTGCTGGGAAGAAAGGAAAACTCTCAGGGGATGAAATTCTCAACACAAAGTTCAAGACCAGCGATGGTAAGGATTTTCCCTCCTTTTGCTTTGCAGGTGTGTCAGGGTATTGAGCCTGTATATCTTTTTCTTTGTAGACTGGAGAGGTTTCAACACAGAAATCTGGCCTTAGATTTGCAAGCTTATCATGTGCTACGAACACCCATTTCTTGGGTTGCCTGGGTATTGGGGGTGGCGTGGTACCAGCACTGCTCCCCGAGTGACACACTGGGAGGGAGCAGGTGAAACGATAAAGAAGGAGTTTCCATAGTGAAATTCCAGGCAAAAAGAATTCATGCCAAAACTGAGACTTTTTTTTTTTTTTTTAAATATTCACTGGCATTTTTACAAATCACTTGCAGTCGTTCAGCAATTTTCACCTATTCAGGCTTTTAATCCTGCAGATATTTCTGGATCTGGAATTTTGTTAGCGATAGCACTTTGCATTTCCAGTGCTATTACTGAGGTTTCTGTGGTATTTGACAAGGTTCAGGCATTTAACTTGAACACTTGTGTAGTTCGGAATCTATAAATACCTGCACTCTTCTAGAAATATTGCTTTATTTTATGAACATCGTAATTTCTAATCATGACATGCATTAGTGTTTTAAATGGCATCTTCCCAAACTCAGGACTGGATAGTGACCTGAGTTTTCAGGGCAATCAACCTTGCAGGGTGCGTGGAGGTGCTGGACTCCAACCGCTACGCTGTCGTTGGCTTTTGCATTTACATATTGACCTATAAAGTATCATTGAACTGTGATGCTAAAAACCTTACTGAAAAAATGAAAATAAAAATAAGCAGGTGAGATGTGCATCCCATTTAGAAGATGTAAAAGCAAAGGCAAGGACTTTGTGAGTGGTGATGTCTATGCGACAGGATGGGCTCAGCAGAAAGCCCAACATTTTCGCTTATCCTGCAAGCCTTTGCTGACTGCCCTTGACCTTCTCTCTCGCAGTTCTGGAAAACGATGAAGAGATCAAGCAGCTGAACAAGGAGATCAGTGAGCTGAATGAGTCCAATTCAGAGATGGAAGCGGCCATGGTGAAACTGCAGTCACAGGTTTGTGTGCTTGGACGTGCATCCAAGCCCACAGATGCATGGCCAAGCCCCTCGCATGGGTGGCGGTGCCGTCGTGTGAGGGTTGGTAACCCTGCCATGCGCCTTGCTCTGCAGATCTCCACCATGGAGAAGAACCTGAAGAACATTGAGGAGGAAAACAAAATCATAGAGGAGCAAAATGAAGCCCTGTTCCTGGAGCTCTCAGGGTTGAGCCAGGCTCTAATCCAAAGTCTTGCCAATATCCGCCTTCCGCACATGGTAAGAAACTTCGACAGCGCTCGCCCTAGCCGGCCTGATCGAGGGAGCTGTGCCAAACCCAATTCATGATAAGGCTTAGGTACAATTAAAGAGTGGGAGAATTGCTCTATATACACCTGCGTGTCCTTTGTAAGATCAGTCCTTTTGCCTTATCTCTGAAGCTTGCATTATATCTCCCTTTTGTTGTCATTTTCTGCTGATCTCCCTTTGTATCTATTGTTCTGTCTCATTACATCTGGGAGCATTATCACAAAATAGGAAACTTTATCAAGGGCACCCAGCGCCTTTTAGGCTAAAGCAGCACAAGCAGAGATCAGGAGGGATTGGATTTCAACGTCAGAAAGATCTTACAGCTCCTATTATAATGCAGGTAGTCTCAATTCAGTTTTGAATAGCCGGCAGCCAAAGAATAGCATTCTTAAAGAGAGTGTATTTTGTTTAATTTAACAAGGTCTAACAGCCCACAGCATGTTACACAGAGTTACTGCAAAATGAAAAGACTGCATTAAAATAGTAAAACCACAAAAGGCTATTAATTACCTTCTCTCTATTCCCAGGAATGTAATTACTGTTGTCAAAACCAGGTGTGTGGAGGGGGGGCTCGTGTTGTTGGGGAAGCTGTCCTCTTACAACTTATAAAGACCACCGCAATGATCATAGGAATGAGCTTTTGATTTATTTTTTCTGCCATCATTTTTTTTGGGACTTCTTTTCATTGGGGTTTGTATTTAATTTCAGGCTGGTTGGAGAGAAGCCATCCTCCAGCAGAGCAGTTTTGGATAGTATTCACCCAGCTGCCTTACTGGCAGAAAACCGCTCGCTGAGTGCTTTTCTGTAAAGTATTTGACACATAAAGGTCAAATAAACTGTTCAGCAAATATTTTTTCAAGGTTTCAGGCAACTCCAATTAAATAATGCCCACGAGACTTGTATGCTCATTTTATTCCTGTTCTTTTTCTTCCTCCTCCCTTTCTTTTATCCCCATTAACTCCAAGTTAGATATTTGCAAGCTTTCCACAACGCCCCTCAAAATCAAAAGCTGTACCGCAGCAGCGTGCTGGTGTGGGCAGAGGTGAGCCCAAGGTGACCGGGCTCCTGTCCTAACTTTGCCTTTGATTCCCTCCGTGATGCTTCAGCAGTCCCTGCCTCCCCTCGTCCTCCAGCCCTTCATTTCCATGGCTTAATTCAGCCTCAAGCCCGTCAAACTGCCTGCACACGCTTAACCTGATGCTGTTAATAGTTCCACGGGGCCAATGCATAAAATTAAGGACCCAGTTAAGATCTGGCAGGATCAGGGGTTGCACGACGAGATTCCCATACGTACAACACCGTGCACAAAAAGGATCCGACATGGAGACCTTTGGCTGTTGGTAGATACAGATGATTAATTGCAAAGAAACATCTCAGCCTCCTCCTGCTCTACTACTAACACTTTTATTTGGCTTTTTTGGCTGCAGGAGCCAATTAGTGAGCAGAACTTCGATGCGTACGTGAACACGCTGACCGACATGTACACCAACCAGGAGTGCTACCAGAACCCGGAGAACAAAGACCTGCTGGAGAGCATCAAGCAAGCCGTCAAGGGCATCCAGGTTTAGTGCCGCGGGACGGAGACGAGCAAGCGAACAGACTGTAAGATGGAACTTTCCCTCCAAGTATTCAGGTTTACAAGTTAGAAAACTTGTTTAATGAATGAAAAAAAAAAAAAAAAGAAAAAAAAAAAGGACCAAAATGTAACCAAGAGGCCATTTCTGAGACGTGGAACTGATCGAACTCAATGTTCTCGTTTACTTAACTTCGGACCTTCTTGAGAAAAGTGGGATTTTTCTACCTGGACCACGAGGTAGATCAGGATGGAAGGTTAATTTCTCCAGTAGGCTGTGGGGCTTGGTAGCTGGTGAAGAGCAGGCATCTTTCATGAGTTGCCATGCTCTTGCAGAGTTGATCCAAGAGTTAAAACGTTACAAGAACAGGGTCTTGTCTCATCCAAGACTAGTGTATGACTGGCTTAAACCTTCATGTTGTCTATGGTTGTATGTCCAGATCACCTACTCACACATGAATTATGTTCTATGTTGCTACAAGTGCTGGAGCTGCAAGCTACCTGTAAATCTGAACCTGTGCTGGGCCTCCCAACCCCGAGGTGTTCAGATATCCACTGGGCATGGGAACTCTGAAGTATTATAAAGTAGCTTATTTTTATTTTCTGAAAGAAATCTGAAGAGCAGTTCTGGATCTCCAGTGGAAAGCGCAATGGAAAAAAGGTTCTCAGGGAAGCTTTTGGAGTTTGCAACTACAGTATTCCTTTGTCTGTCTTAAATATGAGAATAGCTATTATGAATAGGCCAATACCAGATATTTCATACGGAAGAATTCTTAATGTGTCATGGTCCAGTGTATATGATTTTTTGGAAGTCTGTTTGATGACAGTTCTGGTTCTTTTCATTATTGTGATCATCCTTACAGTGGCGCAGTACTGCCAGTCCAGAGATCATACATCAATGCCAGAGAACGTTTGAGATTGCGATGAACAAAAAAAAAAAAAAAGGAAACAAAAACCAACAAAAAGTGAGATGTTAATTGATGGCCAGCAAAGTGCTTACCTACCGTGAATCAGTAGTTGATTTCTTACAGGTATCCACAGGGCAATGGGTATTTTTTGGTTTGGTGTTCTACGTTTTTTTGCAAAATCACAGCACAAGGGCCATTCTGCAAAAAAAAAAAAAAAAAAGAAGAAGAAAAAAGAGTATTCAGGTGTTGGGTATTCTTCCAAAGAAGCATTTTGTAAGCAGCTCGGTACACGCAGCCCACTGTGCACTTAAAGAACAACTCTATGAATGTCTCTGGGACGCTGCTCCCCAGCGCCTGCTCCGTCGCGCGTGGAGCCGGCTGTCACCCCGCGGGTTCGCTCTCCCCACGTTCGCTCCCATCCGGAGCTCCCTGTCCCCCTGCTGCAAACGCTTTGGAAGCGGAGAGGGGCAAAACCCCCCGAGGGGTCCCAGCCCGGGGCGCATCCGCATCCCGCATCCCGCATCCCGCATCCCGCATCCCGCATCCCGCATCCCGCATCCCGCATCCCTCCCGGCGGCGGGGCGGGCCGAGGGGGGGAGGGGTTTGATGAAACACA